GGTGTCCTCCTCGGGGAGGACTGGGGTTAAATATTTGGGGGCAATTCCAAGAGGGCACTGGGGTTTCTGTCTCACCTCTTCTTCCCCCTCCCAACCATCCTCTCACACCCTGCAGGTCTCCAGGCTTGTTGTTCTGGTTTAAACTATCCCATGGGATCTTTCCTTGCAGGACTGAGGCCTGCAAGGTTGTGGGATGGTGATGTGGGAGGGGAGAAAAGAGGGAAAGCACACTGGGATCCACTGGTTTGAACCATCCCATGGGATCTTTCCTTGCAGGACTGAGGCCTGCAAGGTTGTGGGATGGTGATGTGGGAAGGGAGAAAAGAGGGAAAACACTGGGATCCAGAACAACAAGCCTTGGCCCTGGATGCAAGAAGGATGATTCACCCCTGTGACTCTCCAGCTCTTCCCTCTCCAAGCAGGGCAGTTCCATCTGCCGTGTGAGGGCCCTGGGCAGGGTGATGCTGTTTGGGGTGTGCCCAAGCTGTGTCTGATGCCCTGATGGCACAGATGGCGTCTGGGCTGGGCTTGGGCCCTGTCTGGGGAGCTGGGCTGGGCCTGGCCCTTCCATCAGGACTTTGGTGGGGTTGGGAATCACGGGGCTTGGTTCCGGGTGTGATGGTGCTGGTTGATATCTCCGAGCTCATGGGACTGGAAATGGGCACTGGAACACCCCTTAGGACCTTGGAGTTGAAGGGAATGTGACAAAATGGCATTGGCTGAGGCCTCAAAGGACTCAATATAGATATCAAAGCTCCTGGTGGCTGTCACAGCTGCCATGGAAGTCATAACAACATGGAATCATGGAATGGTTTGGGTTGGAAGGGGCCTTAGACACCATCCAGTTCCATTCCCCCCTCCATGGGCAGGGTTGTCAAGCACTAGATGAGGTTGCTCCAAGCTCCACCCGACCTGACCTTGAAGCCAACGTGGATCCCCCTGGTATTTCAGCCAGATTTAGTGGATTTGGGCTCTTCCAATCCTTCCTAACTTGGTCATTCTGCCATGGGAGTGACCTGAGGAGCTCTGTCCTGCTGTCTGGAGCCTCCCAGAACAGCTACAAACCCATTTGTGTTTTGGGAAGGGGTGAACAGAGCAGCTGCCTGCAACAGGCCTCAGGTGGTTTTCCAAAATGTTGGGTCTTCCTTTTTTTTTCCTGGTATTTCTGAATCCCACCATTTCCCCGTTCTCCTTCACCAAACCCTGTTGCTATTGCACATCCAAATGAAGCAATTTAGCCTTCCCTGACCCTCCAAGGAAGGAGGAGAGGACGTGCCCAGGTCAGCCTGGTGTTGTCAGGAGCCAGGCTGGCCCTTCTGCCCTCTGTGCACCCTCTGCACGACTCAGGGACACGAGGAGCACCATCCACGCCTGGAACCTCCTCAGTTTGTCCCACGGCCTCTTTGTTCCCCTCCGGAGCTCCACTTTACCACCCTGAGCTGAAACAGAGCTTCCCCTCTGCACCAGGGAGGAGATCTGAGGTCACAGCCACCCTCCAGACAGGAAAAAAAAAAAGGGAAGAAAGTGGAGAGAGCTGACATTTAAACGTCCCTGGATCTGGCACTCGCTCCATCACGGGTTGAAAACACGCTTTGTGCGACTCCAGTTACACAAAAAGGACTGGCCTTGCACAACCCACTGCCAAGGTCTGGCACAAACACACCCTGGTGGCTGCCAAGCTCCAAGTGGGTGAAGGTTTTCCTTTCTCCAAACTCTTGGGCTCTGTTAACTCCCCGATCCCCCTCGTGACACCCGCCCGGCCCAGTTTCTGCTGCGAGATTCACCCCCTCCCCTCCCCTCCCTCCCCTCTCCTTTTTTTTATGTCCCTGGGAAATGTTTTAACACCTCCCCTCCGTGTTCTCCTGGCACCATCTGCCCTCCCACTCCCTCAGTTGGCTTTGCCCTGGATTTTCTTCCAGCTCTCTCCACCCCTTTGCTTGGAAAAACCGGGGCCGTTCTTCGCTTCCAGAGGCACCACCACAGTGCTGGTGGAGACCTTGCAGTGGCCCTGGGTGTGACTGTAATAGCAACAGTGCCCCAGAATAGCACTGTGGCTTTGGGACATTGCCAGCCCCCAGTCTGGCTCCCAAAGTTTTGGCAGTGTCCTGCAGGGACACAGAGATGGGGGCCAGGTGATGCCCAGATGCTTTCACTATCCAGGTCGCACAGGAGCTCCCCCAGGGGCTGGTTAAACTGGGATTTTGGGAGTTCCACACCTCCCCAGACCTCTGAAGAACCATTTTTGACACCTAAACAGTGTCTGCACATAACAAGAGGTACATTTTTCACAGCACTGAGTGATGCCACCACAGGAGCAACAGTGAACCCATTCCCATCTTATTTCTTACCCTCACTTGGTGTGTTTGCTTTGGCTCCAGTGGCTGGTTAAACTGGGATTTGGGGAATTCTACAACCCCTCAGAACCTTGAAGAACTGATTTTAATACTTAAACAGTGTCTGCACATAACAAGAGGTACATTTTTCACAGCACTGAGTGTTGCCACCAGAGGAGCAACAGTGAATGGTCGATATTCCCTCCCATCCCATCTTATTTCTTATCCTCACTTTTCTTGTTCAATTATTCCCCCCCCAACTTTGTGTGTTTGCTTTGATTCCAGTGGCTGGTTAAACTGGGAT